GACCGCGTGTGGCCACAGGGTCTGTTGGGTCCTGAACCCCCTCCACCACCCCCCAACCCCCGCCCGCCAGTGCAACCTCTTTTCCCTCCCCCTGCCTGGCAGACGCCACAGGTTCTGCAGGGCCCTTCAGCCTCACCTGGCCTCACCATGTCTTGCAGGACAAGAAACTGATCAAGGCCCTCTTCGACGTGCTGGCTCATCCCCAGAACTACTTCAAGTACACAGCCCAGGAGTCCAAGGAGATGTTCCCACGGTCCTTCATCAAACTGCTGCGCTCCAAAGTGTCGCGGTTCCTGCGGCCCTACAAATAACGCTCTGAAGTTGCCCTGCCTGGGGATGGCCAGGTCTACTGAGGGGAAAGGGAGCTCCTTCCTCCAGAGCAGGAGCTGCAAGGTGGCTCCACGGGCCTCCACGTTGCCTTGGAAAATCCGTGACGTGTGCCCTTCAGGAAAGCTGACCAGCCCATGGAGACCGAGCCCAGGCACCCCTCGGATCCATCGCCCCAGTGAGAACACATTGCTTCAGAAAGCCTTCCTCCCTCCCTCCGCCTCTTCATTTCCCAGGACACTGAGAGCACTCTCTCCTGAGCTGGCTCCAGTGTAACCACTGGGGCAGCAGGATCACACGTGCCCTCCCTCCACCTGGCGTTTGGGAGAGAGGGCTCTGGGACGCTTAGCAGTGGTCACGCAAGACAGGAAGCCAGGCAGCCAAGCCGCGGAAGGAGTGTATGTGACGGCGCCACCTGTGGGGTTGATGAGCCTGTGTGAATGTCCGTGGGGCCTCCACACCCTGCCAACTCCTCTGGCCACAGGTCAGGCCACGATGCTGTGTTGTTGAGCACTAAGGATTCTGTGATGGGACGGAACTGAGCTGCTAGGGGAAGAAGCTGTAGGTTTGTGCTTTCCCTTGATAGAACATCTAATTAAGTACTATACATATATATATATATATAAATATAAATATAAAATATATATATATATACTTCTATTTGTGGATACTTTAGGAAAATGCTCTTTGGTCATTGTAAATATTAATTGCGATCCCACTTCTCGCACAAGCCCTTGTGAGTCCAGCCATTGTCGGCCTCTCTGGACAATTCAGCTGCTCCTCCACGCGCTTGCCCCTTGGTTCCCGTGAGGCTGGCAGCCCAGGGGCTGGGGAGTGTAAAACTTGCTTTGGACACGCTTCTGAATACTTTTGAATATGAATTCTTTGAGAACTGGGCTCAGATGCTTTGCCGGAGTGTTGGCCCTGTCCCAGTTCCCTCGCAAGCGACATCACTGCCCTTGAACAGGACATGGGGGACGACAGTTTCCCCTTGGACTCATTCCTGGGGGTACAGGGGCCCGACCATCAACTGCAGAAGGGCCTTGATTCCTAACCTGCAGCAGTGGCCTTGGGGTTTGTGCTGTGCACACATACCACCACGAAGCCAGGCCTTTCTCATGGAAGCACAGCTGTGCAACCAGGGGCCTCAGAGAGCTGCAAACCACCCCTTACCTTGACAGTGAGGAAAGCTGAGGCCCAGGGAGAGTGGGTGGCTGCCCCCTACAGAGAGGCAGGCCCGGGAGCTGGGAGAGATGGCTTCCTGTGCAATATCTCTTTAGAAAGGAGAAGTCTAGGGTGCGACCAAGTTGCATCATGTCCCACCCAGCCAGGAAGCCAGCGCTTGGGATGAAGCTAGCCAGGACCTCCAGCATGCTGCAGTCTAAGAGGCCTCGCCTGCCATCAGACTGCTGCCCACTGTGGACCTGCATAGGAGATGGTCTGTATTTGGGGGGCTAACAAATATTGAAAATAGCAAGGAATGTGGAGAATCTGAAAATGAACTTCCATCACTGGCTCCAAGTTGCCTCCAGGTTCCCTCCTGGTCACCCCAGCCCAGTCTGCCTGGCAAGACCTGAATGCAATCTGAGAGGCCATGACACACTAGCACTGTGCAGATGGAGGGCAGGAGAGGGAGGTTTCTGGAGGCTCAGGGTTTGGTGACAAGGCAGGCAGATCACAACACGTCCTACAGTCCATAAAAGGGCTTGGAACTCAGGAATTACTGCCATTACGTATGTCCATAGCAGCAGCTCCCCAGCTTGGCTACTGTTGCCATCAACCACCTTCCCTGCTGAAGTTCAACTCAAGTTGTTGGGGGGTTGGGAAGTTGGAGCCTCTGCACTTGGTGAGTGGGTCGGTGTCAACTGACGAACCCTGCCAGGGGCCACACTGCCCCTACGCAGTCACAGTCCATGTAGGCTGGCCTCAGTTTCCAGAAGGAGGCCTCACTCCCTTTGTCAAGCCATCAGTTGTCCCCACAAATTAGAGACTGATGTCCCCCAGAATGAGCCCAGACTGAGGGAAGATACTGGGAGGGGCTCTGCTTCTCTATTAGGGTTCTCCAGAGAAGCAGAACCAATAGGATCCACATATAGATCTGTGAGGGGTTGAATCATGGAACTGGCTCGAAGTGCTCTGGAGGCCGAAAAGGGCCACACTCTGCTGTCTGCAAGCTGGAGGCCCAGGAAAACCCATGCTGTGATGCAGTCTAAGTCCAAAGGCTGGAAAAGCTGAGGGACCACTGGTGTGAGTCCCAGAGTCTGAAGGCCTAAGAGCCAGAAGCACCAATGTCCGAGGACAGGAGAAGATGATGTCACAGCTCCAAGAGAGAAGCAATTCGCCCCTCTTCCACCTTTTGTTCTATTTGGGCTTCAGCAGATTGGACGGTACCCACCTACATTGGTGGGGGCAGATGTCTTTACTCAGTCTACTGGTTTATATGCTCGTCTCTTCTGGAAATTCCCTCACAGACACACCCTTAACCCAGCCAAGTGGACCCATGAAATCAACCATCATATTTAAGAGGATTTTACTAATCCCGTCAAAAAAGCAGAAAGAACCAGAAAGAGTTCTTAACTTCTCTCAAGCTCTTCAATTCCTTTGGGTGGTTTCTGGCAGTTACCATCCACATACATACATATCCACAGCCCATCTTCCCCCACATTCCAGGACTCTCATCGCCACGTTATTAGATCATGCCCAGTGTTCCCAGGGCAATGTAGGATGGGGCAGGTGCAGGTGCAGCCTCATCTTCCTCTCCCTCTCAAGCCCTTCTGTGGCTCTCACCCACAGGAGAAGCCTTGAGGAGCGGGAGGCAGCCAGCAGCCCAAACCTACCTGCTGTCCTACAGTCCCCATCCAAGCCCCCCAGGAAAACCACCTTCCACACCACCTGGTGACTTCAAGTCCAGCAGTAGGGTCTGTCCTGAATATCCCCACATCAGCCCCATGCTGGGGAACATGGGGGTCCCCGTTAAATCCGGATCTGACCCCGATTCTCAGGGCATGGTGGACCCAGAGATCTCCCTGGACAGCAAAGCATTTTTCTGCAAGTTCACATGCTGTCGAAGCCAGCAGTGGCTTGACTGACAAGGTGGACATTCCACCTAGCTCAAGATGGAGGTGTGGAGAAAAGGGAACAGAGGAGAGGAACTGGGCCCAGGCCTGGTAGATTGGCATGAAAAAAGGGAAAGTTCAGCGGCCAGCACAGCCCGCAGTGAACAACTACTGAGATAGCAACTGAGGACAGCCTGTGACAACCAGCCTCACCTGCTGTCCAGAATCAGGCTATGGGCTTTCCCAGTTCACTACCTGTGCCAGAGCCTTGCATGCGACTGTAGCCTGTGCTGACCTCTCTCCTCTTGCTTGGAGCTCCCCCCATCCCTCTCTCAGGCTATAAAATTGGCCTGTACTCCCCAGCATCTGTGCCCCTCATTCCCACAGGTTGCTTGACCATAGTGAGTGACCAGTTTCTCAAACTCTGGCTCCCAGAGGACAGTCTTACCCAGCTCCTCCCCAACCTCCAGCAGGACCCAGGCTTCAGGGTCCAAGGTGCAGACAGCTTACTCTTCTGCTGTCTGTTGGTTTGGGACTCACAGACAAAGTAAAACTGAAATATAGGCCAAAAAGCCCCCAGACAGTGATGGCACAAGAGGCCAAATTTGAAAGCCTTGAGAGAGGTCCTCTTTTTCCCAATCCGACAAATGTAAACACATTTTCCATGTGAACTCTGCACACCCCTTTGTGTGCTCTCATTCTCTCAGAGACTTGCCACAGTCACCCAGCAGCTCAGAGTCGTATCTCCCTGCTGGGCTTGTCTGTGACAAGAGGTCCTGGCCCGTCAGAGCCATAGTGAGTGCTTAATTGACATTCAGGGAGTTGCATATTATTCCAGTGCCTCCATTACCCCCAGCAGAAAAATGAGATGGCAGTGAAATAAGTTGGGTCATTTAGCAAACATTTACTGAGCACCTGCTGTGTGCTAGGATCCTAGAAAAGGCCAGGAACCAGTGCACTGCATGGACACTGAGATGGCCACCTGCCCAGGATAGCGGACAATTGCCCCTGACCTCACCTGGTGCCGTCAGTGCCCAGGAGAGAGCTGCCTTTCTTCCCACCAAGGAAATTCCACTGTCTTCGCCTCCTCCGTTCCATGCTTGGGAAATCTGGTCAGCCTGGCAAACTGCACCTTAGTTCGAGGCTCTTTTCTTCACCAAAGGTATGTGTGGTGGCAGCTCAGTCCCTCTCAAGGGTGTGTGTGCCATGTGCCATCATTCAAGCTGGAGGCTGAAGGACTTGTGAGTGAAAATGCCCATCGAATGCTGGAGATACAGCAAATAGCGCCAATTCGCCCATGGCAGCCTCTGCCTCCACGGCACCCAGAGATCCCTGGCCCTTCCAGGAATAAGTCTTGAGCAGGCAGGGCTGGAGTTTGCCTTATCTGGCCTTCCTTTCTTCTTGGAAAGGACACCAGGTGGGAGCAAAGCACCCTGGGGACAGCATGGGCGTGGCCCGTGCTCCCTCACACTACCCTGCTCTGATGGCTTCCCTGGGCCTTGTGTGTTTCTGCAGAAGCAGAGTGCCAGGAATGTAGGAAAGAAAGACTTCTTCCAGACCCTCCTACTGTGACCCCTCCACGCCTGTCCCACTTCACTGCCTCCCCCTGGGGAGCCACACAGGAGACACCTTGGTTTCCCAAGGTTCTCCGGTTGCCCCAGAGCATGATGTTCCACTAGCAGGCATGGAGGCTCCTAGGTGAGCCCCCCAGAATTTTCTGCACTCCCAAGTCTCAACAAGAAGAAAGGAAGGGTGGGGGAAGCTGACATTCATTGCCTACTGTATGCCAGGCTCTGAGCTCTACCTGGGACATCCACACACCCATCCTCCCAGCCCAGTGAGGTAGATAGGGTTGAACCATCCTTCAGATGTGGAGACGAAGGCTCTGGGTGGCCACGGGACATGCTCAAGACAAGTCGTTGGTGGTTACTGGAACTGGGCACCTATGCCAAGCCCATCTCATCCCAATGTAGGAAGTGTCTCTAAAGTGTTGACTAATCTGAGTGTCACAGATTGGAGCTCAGCTGGGTCTGCCCTGGCAGCAGGGAGGCCAGGAGCCGGGATGAGAAGGGCAGAAGGACAGCACAAGGTGGAACTGAGCCAGGTGGCTTCAGTGACGCTCTCGCCCTCCTTAACAAGCACGAGAAACTCATGCGGAGAAAGGACAGACTCTGCCTTCCCTGCAGATGGACCAGGTCCTCCCCTTGCTGAGGTGAGTGCCACTGCCTAAGCCGCCACTCCAGTGCTCTCAGAGACCCCGCACAGGCCTGCAGAGACCACCGCAGAGAGCACTGGGTCCCTCAGTGGCAAGAAGTAGAGGGAGGAAGAGGGAGCCGATGGATGTGAGTATTGGGTTTTTCTGTCCTGAAGCCACGTAGATCTGCAGGGAAACTTATTCCTCTGAGATCCAGCCCTTAAACCCTGAGCAGACCCAGGCCACACTGCTCAGGAACAGGACACGACAACGCTGTACTCTGGTACCCATGGCCTTCACCTTGGGCTTCTGTGAGGGTGTTGTACTCCCCAGATCCTTGACAATAATCCTGCCTTAAGAGTGACAGACATCATCACAACCACGTCTTCCTTTTAGTTGCCACCAATATTCAGAGTTTTCTTCACCGTGTCCCCCCATATGCATGTAATACAACATTTGTGGAAATCACTTTAATAATAAACAAAATGAACCTAAATATTGCTCTTTTCACTTATTCATCAGATGACATGATTTGGGGGGAAATGGCAACTGGAATCCAAAAAGACAAGATCTAAGAAATTGTGTGACCTCTTGAGGGTTGAAAGTCAAAGAGCTACTAAGAAGACCTTCTAGAAAGCAAAGCAGGCCAGGCACAGTGGCTCACATCTGTAATCCCAGTACTTTGGATCCTCAAGATGGGAGAATTACTTGAGTTCAAGAGTTCAAGACCAGCCTGGGCAACATAGCAAGGCCCTCATCTCTAAAAAAAAATTTTTTTAATTAAAAAAAAAATAGGCTGTTCCCTTGCTAGACTCTGGTGTGGCCATGTGCTCTTTGAGCTATGGCTG